CCCCCCCCCCAGTGCTTCACTTGGCCGTTTTCTCCCCGTGTTTGCTCTGTCTGGGCCTGTGCCCGCGTGAGGGTCGCTCCTGGGCTGCTCTTCCCCAGTCCCCTGTCCCCTGTCCTTAGTCAGTTGTGCCCACTGCGCCTCACAGGGCTCCCAGGCCAGGAAGGTGACAGTCGAGAAAGAGCGGCCCGGGGCTGCTGCAGAGCGACGGGGGCTGCGGGCAGGCGGAGGCCCTCGTTTCCGCCTTCAGTCACCCTTCTCAAGATGCCTCCTCCCAGCCCAGGACGCTGTCGGGCCTCTCCCCTCCGCCTCGGCCTGACCTCTTGGCCAGGTGGACCTGCTGTCCCTCCGTGTGGACCCTCCCTCCTCAGAGGTGACCTCCTCCACACTTGTCCTCCGCAGCCCTCGTGGTCCCTGTTCTGCAGAACCCCGACCACGCGGAGGAGCGTGGGGGCCTCGTGGTCCCGTGGAAACCGCCCTCTCCTGGCCCTGAGCGGCAGGGGGAGGGGAGGGGACACGGAGGGTGACAGAGGAGGGGTCTGTAGGGCGTGTGGAGGAGGAAACAGAGCCACTCTGTCCAGAATGGAGCACGTGAACCACACCCGTCACCTCTCCGGGCCCCGCAGGAATGAAGGACCCTGCCCCCGTGATTGTTATTCTAGGGGCACCCCTGTCGCCCTCTCGGCGGCCTTGGAGTAAAGCACTGCGGGGTTAGTTCTGGATTCTGAACCTGCGGGATGTGTGGTTTGATTAATAACAAGATCAGCATATTCACACCCGTCCGCCTGGTGACGACGGGCGTGGTGCGAGCTGCACCCGGCTCCCCTGCTCCGTGCTCCCGGCCGTGGCACGCACAGGTCCTAAAGGTGACCGCAGACGTGGAGCCCGCCCCCCTTGCACTGCACGTCTGCTGGGGCTTCACCAAGCAGGCCTGCCGACCCGGAAGGACGTCTCGGGTGGCACTGCACGGGGAACTTGAAGGAGGACTCGGCGTCTAGTCACCTTCGCAGAGTCACCCGCT